GGCCAGGGCATCCTGCTGGGTGAGGCTGCTGGAGCTGAGCTGGGTGGCTGGTCCGGGCACAGTGGAGGACAAGAACACTGCTGTGGGAAGGGCTGTAGTGACCACCCAGGGGGCTGAGCTCAGGGATGTGGGGCTGTGGAGCTCTGGCTGGTGCCCTGCCTGCCCTGTGGGACCCCCAACAGCACTCACAGGAGAGGGACTCACAGCAGGATGGGTGCTGCCAGCACTCCATCCCATCTCCCACCCTGGTCCCTGCAGGGTGGGGAAGGAAAGATCTGCTCTCTCTGTCCCACGGGGATGCTCATCATTACCATCTGATGGCACTGCCTCTGTGCCCACCACCCATCCCGGCACTTCCGCCCCCCTGTCCTGCTCCGTGGTGTCACCGGTAGTGTCACCAGGGAGGACAAGACCCATTTCCCTGGAGTCCTCGAGGCCTGTCCCTGCAGACCCGGCCCTGTCGTGCCCCTCCCTGCCGGGGTGACCTGGCCCCAAACTGCCCACAGGGCCCTCACGGCTCCCGGGCACTCCGGGAATGTCGGATACCTCCACCCCACTCCCGGCACTGCCCGGGCTGTGGGCAGTGGAGTGGGGGGATCAGCCGGGTGGGGACCCCAGGGACTGAGGCCATGGGCTGGAGCATCCTGCACAGGACCTGTCCTTGTCAGCACAGCTCCGTGGGGCTCATCCGGGCCCGGGTGGCCGTGGCTGTTGGCAGAGCTGTGACTCGTGGTGCGCTGGGTGGGTGGGTGGTCCTCGGAACGGGGCACCGGCACTGGGCCCTCCTCCTCACCCAGGAACCCAGGGATGGTGTATTTGGGAGTGGCTGATCCTGCATCCTCCGGGACCACGCTCAGGAAGTCATTCCTGGCTAAATCCCCAGGCTCCATCTCTCCCTCATCCACAGGAGCAGAGGCTTTGGTGCCCAGATGGTGCTCTCTCTCTCCTCCCAGCTCGGTGGTGAGCAGGACATCAGTGGGCATCTCCCAGGGCCCCTCCACGTCGTTGTTGCTCAGCTCTGGCTTTGCCTCCTCACCTTTAGTCTCCTTCTCCGTGAAGGGATAGTAAGACAGATCCTCGTGGAAGTTGATAAAATTATAATCATAGTAAAAATCATCGACAAAGACGTTTCCCTTCGCGGCTGGGAAGTCCTCCTCAGGGATGACATTGACGTCGTTGGACTCGGGAATGTTTGGGATGAGGGGGTTAAATTTCGCAATGTGGTTGCTGGGGACGTGATGGATCTCATTGAATATCTCCCTGCTGGAGGAGCCGCTGCCAGACCAGTCCGTGTTGGCAGTGTCCGTGTTGGGCATGTGTCGCGTGTCCGCTGGCACGGGCGGCCGGGAAGCAGGGAGTGTCCTGGCTGGCATGGGGGCCGGAGCAGGGAGCCTCCGGTGCGGGGCCTCTGCGCGGGTTCACACTGCGGCCCCCGAGCTGTTGCTGGCAGTGGACCAGGGCGCCGCTGGGTTTCCCATTGCCACAGGTACCGAGACTTGGCGGAGGGAAGAGGGAGGGAAACGTCAGGGATGGTGGCATGGGGCTTGTGGGGTGGCAGGAGGAGCAGGGATGGGGAGGGGGTTGGCAGCAGCGCCCGTGCCCCTCACCAGAGCCCCCCTCTGAGAGGCCAAAGGGGGTGCTTGGTTGTCCCATGTGCCACAATGCTTTGGGCACAGGGGCTCCACGTTGCTCTGCCACACTCCCACCACCCACCCGGGTCCCCAGGTGCCTCCTGTGCCATTCCCACTGGTGGCAGGGGGCCCCCTGCACCAGGAGTCAGGAGCAGGGAGGACTGGTGCCACTGCTGCCCAAATTGAATTCTGGGGCTGTGTCCTGTTAGAGACCGTCCCTAGCAGGGCTGGTGTTGAGGGGTACTTTGCTCAGGGTGATCCTTGACCTGCACTCCAGCCAGAAACAGTTTTCCCGGGAGATGGGCACTGGGAGGGGCACTGGATAAGATGATCTAATAGGCCTTTCTTATGACCTATCGCCATGAATTGCATCTCTTCTTCTGGAAAAGCATTTTTTGAAGCAGGGAATAACAACGTGGGTGTTGTCTGAGTAGGGAAAAGGCAAAGGTCAGTAAGGAGCTTTGTGGGGGACACCCTGGCCCCACCATAATGGGCTCTTTCAGACGGGTCAGTAAAAAGAAACCAAGAGGCTGGAAAGATCAGCAGCATTTTCTGCTGCATTTGGGCCTTGGAGCAACCTGGACTTGTGAAAAGTGTCCCTGCTTATGGCAGGGGGTTGGCATGAGATGAGCTCTAAGGTCCCTTCCCACCCAAACCATTCCAGGATTCTCTGATAACACCACGTGGCCACCACAGGCATTTCCACCAGCTGGAATAAAACATTACCCCACATCAACATCTGTGAGAGGGCTGCAAGGAGGCTGCTTCTCCCCCTAGGATGGCACTGCCAACCCAGGGAAAACAGATCAACTCCCACAAAGCTAAAATTTCCCAGCAAAGGCCTCCAGCTCCATCCAGGAGATAAACTCCAGGTATGGCAGTGCTTGCAGGGGGGAAGCAGGGGGGTTATTTGCCAAGGCTGGGTTATCAGGGAAGCCTCTGGGACACAGATAAGGAATGAGGGCTGGTAGGAGCCTCGTGGAGGAACACACAGAGCTCACAGGAGGGTTCAGCCTTGAGCAGGAGCCACCACAGCCAGCTGGGTCATGCTCCTGCCAGGAGAGAGACGCTCCCCCTTGGGAACTAATGGACAACAAATCATCCTTCTGACTGCACCAACTTCCTTGGAAAGTCCATAAAGCTGGATGTGCATTGCTTTAGGGTCCTTCTGAAGGCACTAAGTCCTGGTGTTTAAGCAGTTTGCTGGGTTACCCAAACCCCAGAGAACCCCTTTGGTGTCGGGTGCTCTGGTGCTGGACAGGCACACGCGTTCCCAGGGTCTGCACAGACAGAACCAGCCCCAACCCCTGCTAGGAACTGCTGCCAGAAGGACCACGTTTCTGGGAAACTTCAAAGCCCTTCTCATTCTCCTACTTACAGTGGTGGTGGAAACAGAGAAAAAAAGATAGCTCTTGCTTTAAATTAAAGGACAGGAAAAGGACAGAAACCCAAAATCCTGAGCACTTTTCTCCTGAGCTCACAGATCTGTCCATGCCAACACCACAGAGGACAACAGTGAGGGCTGGGGCTGGCCCTGCCCAGCACTGACCCACCATCAAGCCGTGATTTTCCCGTTAAACCATTGCATCCATCTCTCTCAGCCCTTAATTTTGGCTTTTGTGGGCCCCTAGAAAAATATTTCTAACTCCCTCTCTCATTTAGCCTTCAAATTCTCTGTTCACATTCGATCCTGGCTGTTCCTTAGCAACAAGCCCCGTTCCCAGGTTCTCTCCTTTCTCTCCTGATATTTGCCTTCATGCTGAACACTTTTTGGAATGGCTGCTTAAATTAGGAGTTATCATTTTCTGGTTGAAACCCTCAACCTGTGGTTAAGCTGACCCACAGAAATACAAAAATAAATCGAGGCTATACAGAGTATGACCGTAAATCACATCATGAAATGGTTTCTGCTGGAAGGGACCTTAAAGATCATCCAGTTCCATGCCCTGCCATGGGCAGGGACGCCTCCCACCAGAGCAGTGCTCCAAGCCCCATCCAGCTGAAAACCTCTTGTTTCTGCTCTCCCTGCCCAGGGAGCGTGGCTGTCACCCTGAGGGAGCAGCAAGGCTCAGAGGTGGGCACAGTTAAACAGCCCAGTGCTTCTTCCTCACTCTGAGACCTCTCCATGGGAGCTGGTGAGCCCACACAGACACATCCACAGGTTTTCCCTGTGAGCAGGAGGCACACCCATCGCTGAGGGTGTCTGGGGGCACCTTGTCCCCAGCTCCCACCAGCTCTGCCAGACACTGGGACCTCCCCGGCGCTCCTCTCACCTCGGACCAGTTCCCCACAGCCCACTGGGAGGGACAGGGCACGTCCCGGTGACAGGGCGCGGTGGCATCGGGCTTGGGGAGGTGCTGGCAGGCTGCAGGCTGCAGGGCCCTCTGCTCGTCCAGCCCCACGCTCTGGATGCACAGCACTGTCCTCTTCATCAGCCCCGAGCTGCCACACGAGGCCGAGCACTGCTGCCACTCCCCGACCCACCACCTGCACAGGGACACACAGGGAGGGGAAAGGGGACGGGAAAAGGGGACGGGAAAAAGGAAAGGGGAGAGGGAAAGATCTCAGCCAGAGCCAGCACCCACATGCTGGGCTCCATCCTGTGGCCCATCCCGTGGGGCCGTGGGGGAATGAGGATCCCAACTGCAGCCTGTGCGTCAGCCCAAGGCCAGGGAGCCCGGATGGAGGGTCAGGGATGGGTCAGTCCCTGAGTTGTGCCAGGGATGGTTCTGTGCACAGAGAGGAGCGTCCTGCCAGGATGGGACCTGCTATGCAGCTCATAGCCTGAGGACATGCAACACCCTGCAGCTGTCAGGCAACCCCAGGGATGCTCTCATGGGCCAGCACAGGGTCTGGGATCCATCCCTGTGGATGAGGGAGAGGAGAGGTGTGAAGAGCTGCACACATCCTGGGGCAATCTGGCACGGCAGTGACCGAGGTCCCCCCACTCTGGTCACCCCCCAGGGCTGTTGGACACTAAGGATGAGCTGAGGAGGGGTGGGAAGGGGAGGGTTGGACCTGGCCGGGCAGGGCTCCTCGCTGCAGGGGCGCTGCTGGTCGTCGGGGCGGGTGAGTGCGTCGCAGAACCGCTCCTCCACGATGCCAGCCAGCTTCTCCACACAGTGCACCACCTGCCGCTGCACCCCTGCGGGCATGGACACGGGCACGGGCTCTGCAGGGGCTTGGGAAACCAAACCACCCACACAGGCACCGGCTCCGCTTTGGAAACCACACCAAACCACCCAGCACCCTCTGCCAGCAGGTGACAAGAGGCCCTTGGTAAGTCTGAGCCACCAAAACAGGGGAAAGGAAACCACCACTTGAAGCTGCAGACCCAAATGTGCCAAGGTTCCAGTGCCCTTGCAGAGCCCCGAGGCACCAGTGCAGCTGGGGCAGGAGGGGTGACTGTGGAGGTGCTGCACCAGCCTGGCAGCGCTGCCCAGAGCCCCATCCAGCCACAGGAGCCTGTGTGCACGGGGGAATTTTGGGGGCTGTGTTTGAAGGGAGCCAGCAGGCAGCACTCAGCTCTGCTGGCAGCCCCGCCCCACCACAGCTCTGGGACAAATCTCTGGCTGAAGCCTTGTGTCCTCGAAGCACTGGGGGGTGATGTGTTTAGGGGTGACCTCAGCACGCTGCCTCGATCCGGCTTTCGGCCCCGTTTTTGTAACACATACTTGACCTGTGCCTTGGAGAGCTGTCACCGACCCGCTGCCACCAGCTGAGGCTGACAGAGCCCTGCTGAGGCTGCTGAGCTGGGCTCTGGCTCAAGCACTTGGGAGCTTACAGGCCCCTGGGGCTGACCAGAGGCTCACCCTGAGCTCTCCCAAATCCATGTCTCAGCTCACTCCATTATCCAGCCCAGGGGGAGAGGCTCAGCCCTCCTCCAGCTGCTTACCCTCACCCGACTCCTGACAGATTCACTCCTGTATTTCCCTTCTGTTCTGGAAGGCAAGTCTCAAACTGTGCAAAGCAAAGCTGGTTTTAAATAAAAGCCATCTCCTGGCACTCTGTGCTACCTAGAAAGCACGAGTGTCCTTGAATTCCCCTTTCTTCCAGTGCCGGCCGCTCTCAAGGAAGTGCTTGCTTCCCCTGGCAGTGTGCCAAGAACATCCCATTCCATCAGCTGCCCCAAAAGCTGTCCCGGGGACCCCGGTGGTGCAGTGGGGCAGGATGGAGGGAAGCGAGTGTCTGACACATGGAGCCACAGCAGGCACCTTCCGTGTGCTCTCTGTAAAACCCTGGACGTGCTCCCCCACGCAGAGGCCCAGCCAGGCGGGACACCAGCCCTTCCACACTCCGGGATTTCTCTAAAGGTCTTTTGTCTCCCTCCCGACGCCGAGGAAGGCCGGGCGGTAACAGGACACCCCCGGCGGTAACAGGACACCGCGCCGGGAGCAAAGCGCTGATAAAGCGCCGGGTCCGTGAGCGCCGCGGGGGCAGCGGAGCCGTGACCTCGGCAGATGGCCCTTTTATTTCCCCCCTAAGACGCCCTGAAACCAAAGACCCGGGAATTCCTAAGGCGCCCCT